CTCGTTGATTTGTCGCAAAAAATGTGCGTATGGTGAAATGCAATAACGCGATAATATTTTGACGTTGTTGTATAAATGAAAATAAAGAATCATACAGCCAATATATACCTGGTAATAAAAGCTTGATGTTTAAATGTAAATGCGTGTATTTGAATTGATAAAGAATGACATTCAGGTCAAATATTGCTTAACATGTGCGCTATACAGCATAGTCACCTTTTTATGTTTAGCATGCATTGCTGGTAATTGACGAAATATTTTAATTTCAATCCCAATCATTTCTCCTTCCTTAGCGTAATCTTAGCCAATCCAATCTCAAACAATATTTTCATACATGTTCTAGGCTGCCTGTTTAAAATTCACAACTACAAGCAGATCCTTCTCTTTCTGAAGAATCTAACAGAAAAAATACATTATTTGAAAGAGCGATAAAAAGTTGAGTGAAATATACCAAATTTCTTGAAGGCGTACCCACAAGTTTTCAGCAAACATTTTTAAAATATTTTTTTCACTAGAAGCAACAAGAGTCTTTCGTTCTCTTCATATCTTTCTCTATGAAGCATCTATTTTTTTTTTTCTTTCTTTAGTTTTCATTTGTCCTTGGCGCGTATATAAACGTATACACTCGTGTACATGTGCAACAGAACCATTAAAAAAAACGAAAAAAAAATCATGATTCAAAGAGCGAGAAGAAACTTAATATGCTTTGATCATCTTTTTAGGGTTCACTATTATTATCGACATAAGATCTAATATAATTAATTACTATATCGATAAATAAATCAAATGCTTTATTAATCATTCACCTGTATTTTCATCAAGTATTTTGGAATGTTTTAATACTAAAAATATGTCACTGACATAATAATGGTGGAATAGCGTTTCAGCTAGTTGGATGATCAGATTTATGTTTATAAACTGAAGATCAGCTATTTTATTGTGTATGAAAATTGTAATTGTACTTCAGTGTTTTGAATACCAATGTGAGCCTTTCGTCATGGGGAAAGAATATCAACGTTTTTTATTCCTGCATATCACTTAAGCTAAATTATATGAACTCGAGGAGCTTTCTTTACTGCACACAACGAGTTTATGTAAAAGACGACCTATCGTAATTGGTCTTCATACTATTGAGACGAATTGCACTCATTAAATCATAGCGATATTTTATTTTCAAACAGTATAAAATAATCTTAATTCACAGTCAAATATATATACGTAAAAAAAAGATGAGAAATAACTCAGTAGAAAAAAGTCGATAGCGATAATAATAACAACAGAGAGGAGAAGAAAAAAAGAGAAAAGTAAAAAGGATGTGAAAAATCAATAATGACGAAAGTAAGAGAAGAAGTATTATAGATTAACATTTCTGAATACTAATATATTTCATTATTATCTCAAATATTTTACTCTGTTGTGAAATGTTATGAATTGATGATTTCGAAGTACTTCTCGGTATATGAACTTAAACCTAACGAGCTACTAAGCAGAGTCGACGTCATTTATTATTTTGAACATTATTCACACGAATTCAAAATCTATGGACACATTTTTATTGAGACAATGCCATAATCTTTTCAGCAATCAAACAGGTATTATTAATAGATAAATGTACATAAAGTATTTTACTGTTGTCTGATATGTGACTTCTTTTTGCCTTAAAGTTTTCTACTTTTAGTCAAGATCTATGTTCCAGAGTGTTACTAATTTAGATTTATTATATGAGTGCCATAAGAGCTTGTATGAATGTTTCGATAACAATAAAAATCATTTTGTCCTCCTTTCACTTTCTTTCCTTAGAACGTATGCTTTCAGGAAAACTAAAACATTATTCATAGACGGAAGGTTAAATCTAGATATTTTAGGATGCATAGTCATTTCCCATCTATTTTGAAATCCGAATATGTCAAAATTTAATTTAAAAAAAAAATATTCATTTGAACTGCTCTAAATTATTGTTTACTTAAATTATACTTTAAGTTGATCTTTAGATATGTTCAAAGTATCTGTAATGCTGATAATCAAAAAGAAACGAATGCTAAGAAGACAAAAGCCAAACTGGAAACAGCGACACAGCAAGATTTACTATTGTGCCGTTTCTGCTTTAATAATACTTTCCCAAGGATTATCCCGAATACCATCCACTTTCCTTATCGTAACATAAATCAATACTGAAAAGAAATCGATCAGAATATTGTATTCATTATATTAGACCCACAAACATAGATTTTTTTAAAATCATCGAACATCATGTTGTTAAAAAAAACAAAATAGAATACTCTTTTATGTGAGCATAAGATTTGATACTTCAGACAAGTTCTTCTATGATTTTCTGTACCATTTCGTCGAATTTACTATCAGCCTGAAGAAACCAGTGAGCAATAACCGTACTATGGATGAATTAGCTTACATCAACATCTTTAATACAGTATACAAAATTGACACTCTCCCAAGGACAAAAACGTATTCCTTTTTCAATTGTTACTTTTTCTTTTTCTATTTCTCTTGTATTATTGTATATAACTTTCTAGTGTCCTTGTACAGGTGTCAAGGTTAAACATATTTGTATAAATATATTACACTTTGTTTACGTATTATTTTGTTTATTTTCTGTATTTATTTCAAAATGATTCATCTTTATAATATTGAGAGAATACCAACAGTAATGCAATAAGAGAAATATCCTTTGTACCTTTCTCAGTTTTAGAGTGTGGATATAAATAAGCGCATTTATGTTTAAAGTTAGTTTTTTTCTGTAGTTAATAAACTTCGAAAATGATCACGCATTCTCTTATTAGATATCGGGGATAATAAAAATAGCTTAATATTCTTTTATCCTTTGATACCATCAATGCCCATCTACATGAAAAGAGATACGTGATTCATCATTACATTTTTTTTGTCTTTCTCATTCTTTATCAAAAAGGGTATTACTATTGTGCCTTCGATTGATACAATTTGCATTATTCTTGACAATTTAAATGATCATTGATCTAATTGTCTTATCATTTAAAAATGTAATCAACAAAAAAAGAAATATTGTGCGTCACAAAGAAAAATATCTATTGATAAAAAAAGATGTTTTTTTTCGTTTCAAATGAGTGTCATGTCAAAGGCTACAGAAATATTTTTTGAATTTACTGGATTTCATTCGATATTTCGAATTTTTGTGATATCGTATGCTTTAAAAATATAATATTTTTGATCAGATCACTTTGAAGAATCGGGTATTAAGTGTGTTTTGACAACTGTTTGTTCAACAATCTCTATCAGAGTGTAAAATAACAATACTAAGAAATATTCTATTGAAAGTTTCAAACGAATTTCTATGAGCTTTTCTAGAATTTCCCATTGAATTGAACTATCGAAGCGCTTTTGGAAATATCTGAAGATCGATTTCCATTTTAGAAGTATTTTTTTTAGGTATTTTATTTCATGGTCAAAACATATGCACAAAATAATAGCTACAATGTAATGAGAAAAAAAATAGTTCGAAAACTTCTAACAGTAGAACTAACACGTAAGCGCATTCTAAACAAAATCAAAAACTGTGCAAAAATACACAAAATAAACTGCCTAACAGTTTGGGACATTATATCTTACATACCATTATACTTAAAAATGTATCTTCATACTGCATGATTATTCAATTTATTTTCATTTAAAAATTCTCATATTTCTCGAACCTTTGATGCATATATGTAGGGGAAGTTAGCATCTGATTCGAGTTTTTTTTAAATCGATTCACCTATTCAATTGTGCCATGTACGAATTGTGACGTGCTAGACAGAACTCGACAAACTCTATCATATCGTAAATTTGAAATTTCAGCTAAGATCAAAAACAACGAAAGATAGATCAAATCATAATCTTGTACCATAGTGAAAAATAATAAAATTTAACATTTCCTAAAACAATTCGAGCTAGGAGCCGTGCTAATTTTCAAATTTACATCATTCGATGCATCTCGACGTCCTGCCTCTGATGGTATCAATAAAATCCTAATCAAACCGACTCATGAGACCCTCAAACTCTGAAAACGTAAAACAAACACCATATTATGATCGAATTCTCGTGACTATTCGTTCAGTAACCTGTACCATATGCAAAACCGATTCTATTCGATTCATGTTGACGAACTCTATCGAATGATATGTATTTCAATCCCACTGAGTAAAACCTCCAGACTCAAAGTTCTGAAAACCATAGATATATGAGACAACAGAATATGTCCATCAATCAACAGAACAATATCGCATCACAATAATAAAGTGTTTATTTTTCAATGAATCTTAATTGGTTCGAATGATTGATGTGAAATTTAGTGTAGCTATTGACACTTTAGAGATTCTAGCATCTCTCAAATCCCTTTCGCTATTCTCACTTACATTACTATTTCAAAAACATATTCATTCTATAATGTGTGCCAATCAAGAGACATGTATTGTTTTATTCTTCTCGATGAGATCTATCAATTGATGTGTGCCCAGTTAGAATGAACCGAATGAACATTTTGCCATTACTCACAAATATTGTCGCAAAAAGCAAACAAAGACAGATTTTGTGTTTTTTTTATATCATTTGGCTGATATTAATTATTAAAACACCTGTGAAATACTAATATTAACCCTGAATTACGCATCAACCGATAGGTCTCATCGACATGCATCGAATGATATACGTAGCACGGTTGGCCCACACTGTGGAGTGAAGATGTTATTGAAATAGTGTGTTGATGACACAAACGGCACGAGTTTTTAAAGAATTCGAGGTCAGCAAAGTATTAATATTTGTATCAATTACATATCAATCGATAGGACTCATCGAGACGCGTCGTTTCATATTCGTTTCATATTTGGCACACATTGCGGACTCAATATTATTAATATAATGGGTTGATGGCAACATCTAAACTGATTGCGGGTGTGGGTGTCTGTTTTGGGTGCGGATCAAAGTCGTCTATTGAAACTCAACCTTCAAACTTACAGCGCCACCCACACTCAACCACACTCCACACCCCATCCTTGTGCATCGGGATTATCAAGTAATTGAGGTAAACATTGTGATACAGGTGATTCAAGCATAATTTCTTTTAATTCATAAAATACAAATGAATTTTCTTTTATTAAAAACCTTTTCGCTTTGCCTATTTAATCTGTACGACCAATACAATATGTATAATCTAAAAAAATTCAAACCATATTTATTTTCTTTCGTATGAAACTGTTTTTGTCGTTTACTTTGAATTGTCTTAGCTATATTATTATTTATTGCAAGTGAGACATCTATTTTTAATATCAATACTATGACTAGCAACATCTGTTGCAACAAGAATATCCTATTGACCTTGCTTTAATTGAGCTAATGCTAAATCTCGACTTTTTTGATCTTTTCCAATCCTAATAGAAATACAAATAGCAATTTAATTTTTCTTATTTGTAATTAAAAATACCTATTAAAATAACTACAGACGTGTGTAATGTACATGGATGATAACCTTATTTAGCTAAACTAATAGCCAAAACGCCAACTGCTTTCCTTTGATTAATAAATAGAATAATTGGCAGTTTATTGCAACGTTCAAAACTCAAACGAACCAATATAAATAGATGCTGGACAATGAAAATATGTACATGCTAAACGTTCGATAACTAGTTTCATCGTTGCTGCAAACACCACTGATTGATGATATTTATCTTTTCAAGTAAAATCTCTTAACACAAAAGAAAGAAGAAAGTTGTGTTTGTCTTTTTTACATGGAAATGTTTTTCTTCTATCTTGTATTTTCTGTAAGTTCATTATCTGGTTTTTTATTTATAACGGGTAAATATTCAAGAATACGTTTAACATTAGCCTCAAAACCCATATCGATGATACAAAAAATCGAATAAGGGTCAATAGATAAATATAGTGAAATTGTCTTATCAATCATTCGATCAGCTTCATTCATAACAACATAATTAGTGTTGTAATATTCAATAATGATTTTCAAGTACATCAATAAGACGAATCTGGTGTACCAATCACAATTTGATAAGAAAGGCGAGGTTTAAAACTTTGTTCTTCATGAGATAAACCACGAATAATTGAGACGACAGTCATATTTAATCGTTAAAAAAACGAAAAAACTACCCAATAAGTGCATTCAAATGAATATGAAATTCGTCCTTTTTTGAATTTAACTGCTTCTTTTTATTCTTCTATTTGTTGTGCTAATTCACGAGTTGGTGCTATAATAAGTTTATATGATTCATTATTAGCATCAAGAGATCTTCAAAGAAAAACTTTTTATTCATTTCATTAATAAGAAAATTATCTTATCTATCAACTAGTGATAATATTAATTTACTTACTATCTTGTCAGAACCAGTTTCTGCAATACCAATCACATTTTGATTTTATAAACTAATTGGAATAGCTTGCTACTGAATTGTTGATGGTTTCTATAGTAGGAAACAATTTAAAACTTTTTAGCGTAGCTGCTTTGGAATCGAAATATTGAATTCATATATGTTCTTTAGCTTCATTACACCAACGCAGAATAGATTGAGTAAAAAATTTCTAGCAGATTATTATTGTGTTCTATATTCCAACCATTGAAAATTTGAAGAACGCTTTGAAGCGTTTCAAAACAGTTTAAGTATTCTTGTTAATGTCATTTAGCGCCTTTTTCCGTCACCGAAGAACTGTAGAAAAGAAGCCTGAAGATTCTGGTCCCCGATTGATATGGAAAACTACGGAATGATTTTAGAGAGAAGAGAGAGCCGCAAAAACTTCCACTTAAACTTCCATTCAATATTTTCCTTGAAAATATTTGTGAGTTTCACAACACAGATCTTGTTTCACTTAAGAAAATTAAAACTATCTTGTAATCAGCAGTTTTAATAACTTCAAGAATGTCTTTTTCAAGTCCAACTTCATTCTATGACTGTAATGAATGTAGATTATTTTCACCTCTTATTGTTATATTATAATCTTCTTTGAAAATATGCCGATCTCAATCAGTGATTTCTTCTAAAGTCTAATCAGATCAGTGATCTTCATCACAACAACATTTTTCATCTTTTGCTGGACCACATTTAAGGCAACATCTAGAAGAATAATGAATAAAAAAAGAGTGTACTCCGTTTTGCAAATAAATCACGCACACCCATACCACACCTTTCTTCACGTTCTTCATCAGTATTTAAAAAGTCATAAGAAGAGAATTAATATAAATGAGAAGAATAAAACAAATATACAAAAATTATTCGAAGTACTTGGCCGATCTGTTGGATTATTTGTTTCATCTATTTTTTCAGGTTTCTTATTGAATGCAGTATATTTTTACGTAATTCTTAATTTTATTGACGAATGGCTTCAGCTTCTGCTTAAGTTATAAGTTTAGACTGAGAAATACAAAAAAAATCGATGAATGCATCATATCTAATAATTACCGCCATAAATATTATTAGATATTGAGCTAGACATGTGTTGCTTAGTATTTTGACTGACGAAAAAGGACGATTGCTAATGAGAGAACTATTTGAGCTGTAAATCTCCAGTTAAGTTCATATTGAATGTATGATAATGAATTTTCGATCTGCGATATTATCTATGGAGAGACCTAATGATTCTTGAAATATTCTAAAAGTTTTAACCAAAAAAAGAATTTCGCTTTGTCGAAACATTGAATTTCGAAGTAAACGTGATTTTTGTGACATGTCTTTGATGAACGACTATTTATTCGAAACTCAATATCTTGACAAATAAATATTCTTGATGACTGAAACTTTCAGGATATATCCAGAATTGTTAGATCTATCTATAAGCTGAATTGCAGATTGAAATTTCACGATTTGACTTTTCAGCAACCATCTGAAAATGAGTTGAAAATTTAGTAACATGATCATAACTTAGATCTTGAAATACATTATATGTGTTTAAAAGTTTTATTGTAAACACTAATACATTTTTGTATCAGAACGACTCAGAAGTCTGTAAAGTAAACTGAATCCTCTGCGCCCTCCCCCACTTGGCCTCGCCATTGTAGGGTAGTTCTTTCGTAAGATCACAAACGTTTCAATTTCATCAAACTACCTATATTCGTATAACAATATGAATCAAAAAGTAAATGAAAGAATTAACTGAACGGTTTTACAATAACTATAACTGTTCCTACGTATTTTATCTCGCTATTGATTTATTCAGTGTTGCTTCCTTTCTCATATATGTTTGAAAATATCTCATTATAGTCATTTCGTAATTAATTGTGAAGGTGCTGAGATATTAGAAATCTAAAAGTATTCAATAGTAAAATTCTTATTTTAGTTACTTTTGAGATTATTTCTTTTTCTTTCTTATTTTTTTCAAGCATTTCTTCTAATGAAAGTGGTACACGTTTTGTTGTACTTCTTCCATTAACTCTACTATTATTTGTCATTATTTCATTAACTGTTAATTCTCATTTGTCAATATTATCATTATTTTTTTGACACTTTGAACTAGAACAAGAAACTAAAAATCATAGCATTAATAAAACTACATACTCAGATAATTTTAATCGGTTGACGGACATTTTGCACTAAATCATTCCAGACTCAGGTCATATTTTCCGGTGTTCGGAAATGATTTTTATCCTTAAAAAGCTTTGACAGGAGCTCGTAACCCTTTTTGGACGGGATATCATATTGAAAAAAACAGGGAGATCGGAAGAGTGTGACTAGGAATTCGAAATGGCATGCTCATTACTATATGTGATATAGTGTCCGGAGATGGGGATGAACAAGACCAGGTGTTCAGAATAAAACTCCAAAGGTATTTTTCATAGGAAAAAGTCTGCAGATCGTAATGAAACTGATCGAGAGTTTATAATGCGATTTGCCAGAAAGTCGTAACGGACTCGTTCTGATATCTGTAACGATTGTAAAGACTTTTCTTTCCTTCTTTCTTTCTGATAATGAAGAATAGGATTCATTCATCTAGAATAATAAATAAACATATTTTTTCTTTCCACAATCATGGTGTTCGTAATAAAAAGCATGTACATGTAAGGAATAATAATGACAAATATAAGCACTTGAGTTACAGTAGTAACAACAATAGAAATATGGACTGTTGGAATTCATTAGGACATTCTATGTGTACCATCTTATGATAAAAACTAGTGAGTCACTTAACATCTCCCAAAGAAGAGCAAATACGAACACAGTTTCGAATAATTTGTCTTTTTTCATTAAGGTTTCTTTGCAGTTTGCATTATGATTTCTAAACATTCACTATCTTATTTATCCTAACCTTCATTACGATTTCTCGGTCATTTTCAATCCGAACTCCAGTCAAACTTCAAGTTTTTATTTGTCAAACTCGATCATCGTCGTTCGTGACGGTCTTCTGGACAACTTTCATTACCAATGCCCTGTTTTTTTAAATTTTTGATGGTTTTTTTGTCATTCTGAACACCCTGTCTGTTCGCTTATGTCAAGTAATCGTAACCAACATATGTCACTGAAGATCGTAAGAAAAAGTTAGTGCGAAATGTCCCTTTTCCTTTTAACCGTCTAGGTGATGAATGACGATGTTCCTACAAAATTAAACTTAATAATCATTTCCACAACAAATCCAAAAAATATATCTTTCTTTACTTGTACTCCTGTGGCATTTTTTTCAAGTCACGAAACGATGATATACTATGAACCATTATTTATCTGAAATAAGAAAAACAAATACTGTACATATTCTAGTGCAAATCTTCATGTAATCTTGTGAATTATCAAAAATGTAAAGTAATTTCGCTAATGTCGCTTCAAATTCTTCGTTAGCTCCTAATCCATATGTTACATTCCGGATGTCGCGTATTTCGTTTACAAGTTGAACAATTAAAATTCTTTTAATTCTCTAAACATAATTAGCTTCAATACCATTGAATTCATTATCTTGACCATATAAAGCCCTATTCAATATTTTATTTGTAAGGTCTTTTCAAATATTTTGCTCAATAAAATTATGTGATGAAATCGTTTGACCAATTCATAAGGTTTTTGTTTTTGTTTTCGCTAACAAAAAAAAACGAGGAAGAAGAAACAAACAGAGAACCAAACGAGTTTTATTTAATCACTATCTAAAAATAAAAGAATAATTAAAACAATTAAATCTGAGGTTTGTTGTTATGACGGAATAAGTAACAAGAAGACGATGTCGATGAAGATCTGATCGTAACTTAGTATATACAATATGTTTTTCATTAATTAAAATTTTACCAATTCTTATAGATCTAAGAAAAAATATTGCAAAATGTAATACAATAGTAAGAACCTTCAATCTTCTACGACAGAAGTCAAAAGTCAGAATCATGTGAATTACAATGAGATCTGTTGCAATTAAATTATAACGGATACGTTCGGCAACCTATGTCAACCAATCGGTATGGACAAGTTAAATATAAATGATGGATAGCTGAAATTCATTTTTACTTATTCGGCCAAAAGGATACAACTCCTTTTTTGCCTTGAGCTAAACATATGGAATCTATTGAATTATGAAAAACTATATATATGGTATATGTAGAACTCATCGAATCTAAAATTCTCGAACCTGAGCCTCAAGTTTGTGTAAGTGAAGACGAGAGTCTCACTCACATCCTTACATCAATATCATCCTCTTTTTTTCACTTGCATCATTGGAAGCTAGCTAATATGTTTATTCTAAATCTATTCTAGAAATCAAAGAGAAATTAAAACAATCACCATATAACTCTAATCATCAATGGTAATATTCAAGTTTCTCGATCCAACTCAATCTAGAAAATAAACACTTCATTCATATATTCTTTGTATATTAAAATCAACTTTCCGCGCTTGTTTTTAAAAGTGTTGATCATACAAACTTACTATCTACTGCAAATTCATGTGAAATTGAAAATTCATGAGTAACGAACATCTCAATGGTTATTACACATTATCAACATAAATTAATCCAGTTATTTTATATTTTACTATACGAAAAATATCAGAAAAAAAGTTGTGAGTGGTGGATTTTGGTGTGCTGACATGTCATTATAATTGATAAAACCTCAATAGGTGAATAAATTCTCTAGAAAAAATAAATCCAAGAAGCCTCTCGTTGTATCTAAGACCTCTGAGGTACTTCTGTAGGAGTTAACACGTAAAAAATTAATTCTAAGTATGCCAGTATGTAGAGTATCTACGATAGTTTCGCGTTACAAAATATCAGGACTAAAAGCATTATTGCTAAATAACAGTGAAATATACAATACATGAGTACTGCAATAATTATACTCATTTTTTATTTCAGCATGCTTCTATCATGGATTGAATACCTTAACAAGGAAATGATTTTAGAAGCTAAAGTTTTTGACCTTTTCACATCTCATTCGGAGCTGTATAAAAGCAAAGTTGTATTCAATAAATAAGAAATGAAATCTTGAATAATAGCAATGATCTATCAAAGTAAATGAAATGCAGTTTAATTTTAATTTTACATGTATTACTGGAATTCTCAACCTTTATAAATACTTTCACCACCAGCAATAAGACATTATTTGTGACCTTGAGTTTATTTTAAACAAAAAAACAATAACTGTTGGAAAAAAGAACTAGAACAACAAAATATTAAATTAAGCTGCATCTTATTTACTTCGATATATTATTGCGATCATTCAAGATTTTATTTCTTATTTATTGATTATATTATTGAAGAATCAAATGCTTGAAGTATTATTTTTCGTCCATTAAAGATATTCATAAATACCTGATCAGGTTTAATTGATGAATGTTATTTGTATTATGGTTAAATGTTTACATGGATATTTTTATTGTGTATGGTAATACGGCTATTGTTGTGTTAGTTTTGTTCCAACACTTGTTCTTTGTTTGTTTAAAATAAACTCAAGGTCACAAATGATGCCTTATTGCTGATGATGACCGTATTCATAAAGGTCGAAAATTTTAGTAATATATGTAAAATTGAAGTTAAACTGCATTATATCTACTTTGATACAAAATTGTATTGAAATCCATGATCTTAATTGATCAGAATAGATTGTTATTAGCGTGCAATGATTCCTAGAGTGATTTTTTTCCAATTTTACAGAGAGATGTCTAGATAGCATAAACTGACCCAAAACTGGCACTGATTCTTGCTAACTATTCAAATTCGAAAAAAAAAGATAATAGAAAATGACTATATCGATCAATGTCCTGTTGAGAATCGATTATTATGCGCTTGAATCTTGTAATATCAACACATAGTTTGTCTATTATAAAAATAAAAACAAACGAAAGGAAGAAAAAAAAAATATGAAGAACAAAAAAGAAAAAGAAAACAGTACGCTTGCCGTTACACTCGTATCCTTACACAAAATGTTGACTACCTTGTGAAGATGTCATGCTTCATTGATAATCATAAGAAACCAAAATTAAGAAAAACAACGGATTTTTTTGTTAACAACATAATCGTATCAAAGGCCATTGAGAGTGATCAGAAGGCAACGCTCATATATTTCAACATGATTCCAATAGTAAGTATACTTTCGTATCATCATATATAAAGTTTTGATAAAATCATACACAAAAGACTAAACAAAGCCTCCAAATATAATTTAAAAAGACCATAGAATGTAGAAATAAAGCGTGCTTTGACTATTGATCGTTAAAGAGTCATTTAGAAGGAATCGTTTTCTTATCAGTTAGATAGGATTTATTTTTTGAGTCCAATGAAGTAAAACCAATGAATAGATTATTAAGTGAAACCAGATTTTATACAACAAGCACAAAAAACAAAATCCTGAATAACCTTCTTCTTTGTAAAATTTTGTATATGAAAAAAAATCCCTTAAATTAGCAGAGAAAAGACGACGAGCCGATATGTTGACCGAAGACAGAATTGAAGTAGAACAGACAGAAAAAAAAAGAATAAGAAAAGAGAACGTTAATTAGATATTCATATATACGGAAAAAATGTGCTTTGATCACCAAACAATTTAAGATACAATCCTGATGACAAAAAAATAGTTTTGAAAACCACACAATTTTAGATACCAATGATCACCGAGAAAACTTACTTTTGATCATCAGATTTTTCATCATTCATCTAACATATTTATTTCTTCAAAAAAGAATAATAATATCAAAAAAAAAATAATTGAAATAATAAATAGACAAGGAATACTTCAAACCTTTATTAACATATCTATTTACCGTAAGCTGTGTTAGCTTTCTTGGGACCTCCTTTTCTTCTTCATTTACCTAATTGTTCAACACATGTCTTATCGTTCACTTGGTATAAATTGAATAGAATTCCTAAACCAACCGAATGCTTACAAGAGTAGTCTTTGAGTCTAACCGGACAAGCACATGATTCTAATGGAACAGCCAACCAGCAAGATCGTAGCCACACCAAAAACTCATTAAATGTAACCCAATGACGAGAAATATTAACGTCTAACCAAGTTGAACATGACGTCTGAGGATTAGATGATGCAGCATCAAGACATTTTAAAAAACCTGGTGATCAAAAGTATCTTTTTTGGGTGATCAGAAAAATGGCCATCCCATATACTGTTTAATGAATAATATTCACTCGTTCATTATGTCACAAAATGCAATACTATACTTAAACAATTTTCTTTTAAGGTAATGTTAAGATTTTGTGATATGACATATATTACTGCCCATTTGTCAATAGTTGTCGAGATGGTCAAAATTGTGACCTAGAAATACCTATTTTTGATCGATTTTTGCGTTGTAAAATATTTCATTATTATCACAAAATTAAAATAAAGCTTTGTAAAAAACAAAAAGAAGATATTATCGATAGATTTATAGAGTTTTCAATCGACTATCGATTCACGTATTTGAGTTCATACTTATTCATTGTATTTATGAGACAAGGTTTGACAGAGAATAAATAAAGTAATGTGGCTGATTTGAAATCAGTGGAATTACAGTTAAAAAATAGGAAAACAACTAATGACAGGTGTCGGAAATGCAGAACTAAAGCAGAACTGTTTTCTTGTTACTTTATATATGGTTAAATAGAGTAGACGAGCTGATCATGAATATAAATGTTTTTATTCTTTTGGAATAATTCTTAAACGGAGAAGTTTCATTTTTTTCCGATGACCTACTTTCTTGCAAAAAATTAGTCCATTTTTTTGTTTGTATCAAGTTTCAAAACTGTTTGTTTCAGATTCAGCGT